CCCGGGGTCCCGTACCCGCCGCGGGGCTTTGGAGCCGGCTGCAGAGGCTTTGTTAGCGGTGGGCGAGGCTCCCTCCCGCGCCGGAGCCGCAGGTCGCGACAAGTTACTGTGTTCTTAGAAGTCGCGGCGGTGGCCTGGCGCGTGGATGCGGACTCCGATCTCAGGGCAGTCGATAATCAGAGGGTCCTCTTGGCTCTGCCTGCGGGGAGTGGCGCGTTTGCAGCCCAGCGGGGAGCGAGGCCGGAGTCTCGGCTCGACGCCGCCGCCTCCTCACCCTGGGGGCCCGGACGACCGGGAGGAATCGCAGACCCCGGCCCGTAGCTGCCGCGTGCCCGCAGTGTGTCTGTGTGAGTGCCTCAGGATGTATTTCTGTGCGTGTGTCTCTGAGCCTCAGTATCTCTGAAAGCATTTGTGTCTGAGTGTTGTGTCACTGAATGTGTGTTTGAACCTTTGTATCACTCAGTGTATCTCTGTCTCTGAGTATGTCTCTGAATTTATCTCTGAATGCATTTCTGTGTCTCTTTCTCTGAGTCTTTGTGTCTCTGAATGTGTCTGAGTCTCTGTATTTCTCAATGTATCTCTGTGACCCTGAGTGTCTTTCTGAATGCATTTCTATGTCTGTCTCTAAGTGTCTTTGTATCTCTGAATGTGTATCTGAGTCTCTGTGTGTGTCTCTGCGTACGTCTCTCTGAGTGTGTGCGAGCGAGTGTTTGGGTTTCCCTGGGAGTTGAGGTGTCCGAGGTGTGCAGGAGTGTGTGTTGTGTTGCTTTTCAGTAGCCAGGAGGAGTAGGCTCTGTCAGCGTCTCATTTCCTACTCACCTCATATTTTACAAACAAGACCAAAAAAAAAAAAAAAAAAAAAAAAGGCAAAGGCAGCGGGTCAGTTCCTTCTTTCCTCTGCAGGCTTTCACCTTTTAGATAGAAATAACCCGAACTTCCTCTGAATTTCAAGGCTCCCCTCACCTCCTTGCTATGAAATCTACCTACTGTTCTGTGAACAGATAATTTTTTTTAAGTAGGAAGCACTGTTTAGCCTTTGCACCCCCCTACTTCTCTCTAATTGCTATGTAGCAGGCATGAGGTTAAAGCATAAGCTAGCCCAGCGAGGATGATGTGCTACAGTATTTATTTATTTTGGAAGGAAGGGTGTAATTAACCCTAAATAACAGCCCTTACAGCTTGCAGAGGGGAGCCTCCTGGCCCTATCAAAGGCGGGCAGAACAGGGAGGGACTGAGGCTGACATGAAGTCACAGATACCGAAACTATGTGCCTGATAATGATATAATTAGGGGATCAGAGATTTCTGACGGCTGCGGACTTCAAAAGCTTTAAAAGAAGCCAGCAGTCTCTCCTGTAGCCATCTTGACGAAAGCAGACATTTTTGTTTAATCACTACATACAGTAACGAGAAGGGGGCAGAAACAGAAGGGCATTGTTCCACAGTTTCAAAATACCAGTCCCCTTTCTGGCCTTTTGCATGCCACAGGAAGAAACTTTATGAACGACAGAAATATAGTTTTAATACAGTGGTACAAAAGTCCATTCTCCTTGCTTAAAATGTGGCTCCAATTAAAAAAAAAAAAAAGTAGTTAGAACTTTCCCAGTTACCTGTCAAAATTTTATTAGGCTGTTTTTAGGTCATTGAAAATACAGTATTTTAAATAGGCTCTCATAAACATTTAAGCAGCATTTTACTTGTATTCAGTCTTCCTTTTCTGTACAAGGTCTGAAACTAATAGGGTCAAAATGGGCTTTTAATCTGTTTTATTTATACTTTAAATCTGTATATGGAATTTGTCAAACTAGGAATATGTAGTCATCACCCCAGAAGACTGGTGAGCTTTATGTGGAAAATAAAGTGAGCTTGGAGCGAGGAGGAGAAAGAGCAGAGAAGTGATTCTGCAAAGCGAGGTTCTTACTTGAAGCAGAGAAGGAACTTGGGCCCAACCTCAGGATGGCGAGTGCAGATTTAGGAGCGAGAACCCCAGCTTTGGACTGTTAGGGGTTGCTAAAGATCTGTGTTTAGTGGGCTGGTTTTTCTTAGAACCGAAGCACTGGCAGTGTCCGGTGAAAGCAGAGCATACCATACCGTGGTCTGGAATTTGGACAGATAATTAAATGAGACACCTTACTCGGCATTCAGAGAGAGGGGGAAGAAGAAAGGTAAGGGTGGGAAGAGGTTTGTAAAACAGCAGATCCTGGTGTTTAATTTCAGAGTGGAGGTTTCGGATCTTCAGACGGGAAACTGGAAGAGGCTTGTGCATTAGTTCAGTTTACTTGCTGTGGCATGTGACAGCGACCAGGGTCCACTAGGTGGGTATCGTATTAGTGATAACTTTAAGACCCAGATTATTTCAACTAGAAACTGATATTAAAGCCTCCAATCTTGCCCTGTGACAAAATGTGAACCGAGCCATGCAACTCACAAAATAAGTTTTTATAAAGGAAACTTTTAATCACTTCCTGTAGAAAATTTGAGGTTTCCTTAAGGATTTTTCATTCAACCAGCAGAGGATTTTCAGTTTCAATGTTTCCCCTTTTAGATCACATGTCAAATTACATGTAAAACTTGTGAGGAGGAGGAGGAGGAGAAGTTAGCCTTGCAGTTTTATACTCCCCCCACCTTTTATGACTTTCCATTTGGGCTGAAAGAAATTGACTTTGGCAAGCAAACCACTAATTGTAAACTGCCTAGTTCCTGTTTTACAATATACTGACTAAAAGCTCCTCTGCATGAAAAGATCTTTATAGGCAAAAAGTTTGCCTTTTCTAGAGAGGTTGCAAATAGCTGCCTAGTTTCATAGTTTTAAAACCTCCTGACCTGGGCAATTTCTAGATTGTTGTGTTTCTAGTTAATAACTTTATAAGGTGTTAGCTAAAGCTCTTAACTCTTGGCACAGTCCTGTGGGATAGTAAACAATTCAGTAGTTCCGATCAAATATTTATACTGACAAAATCAAAAAGCCTAGCATTTTATGTTGTATGGTCATGTAAGATTAAAATGAATAAATAACGTGATTTACGTTATGGTAGGAGAAATTATACTCATTACTATTTCCTTCAAAAAGCAAGTTTTTAAAAAATGACTCTCTAAACTTCTCAGAAACCTGCTATTGGGATTACTACATTGCCAAAAGTACATTTAACTGGATTGAAACTTACCTACTGGCTGCAGGGAAGGGCTTCTCCAGGCTCCATGGACTGGAGCCCTGAGCTTGGATGATCTAAAAGTTCCGTGCCTTTGAATATGGGATTTAGCAGCTGCCTAAATAGTTGCTTTATCTGGTTTCTGGAGCAGAGTTTGACGTGATCTCTCATTGTTTTCAGGTGAAATTCGATGCTACTGTGATGCTGCCCACTGTGTAGCCACTGGTTATATGTGTAAATCTGAGCTCAGCGCCTGCTTCTCTAGACTTCTTGATCCTCAGAACTCAAATTCCCCACTCACCCATGGCTGCCTGGACTCTCTTGCAAGCACGGCAGACATCTGCCAAGCCAAACAGGCCCGAAACCACTCTGGCACCACCATGCCCACACTGGAATGCTGTCATGAAGACATGTGCAATTACAGAGGGTTGCATGATGTTCTCTCTCCTCCCAAGGGTGAGGCCTCAGGTAGGTAGAAGCCGTTTCTAACCAGAATGCCTGCCTGATCTATAGACTTGTGACAGCCACGACTTCGTGTGTCTGCTATTGATTTTGTTGTTAATGTAATTAGAGACACCAGAGGGAGAAGCCTGGCTGGATACAAAGATGCATCTTGATTGAGTGGCTTTTATGTCTGCCTGAGCATTAGATGTCTGTCTACATAATAGGTTTTGCCTGTTTTTTCAACATTTTGAAGACATTAAAAGGCCATTACATCTCAGTAATGACAGTCTGTAAACAAATGCGTTTGTAAGCTTCTTTAGATAGTTTTGCAATATTTTCTAAATATCGTTGATTTAATTGTAAGCTGCTTTTTAATGGAATTCCTGGATAAAATGAATTGATGATTATGAATATATCCCTAGGAGGAGTTAACATGGAGTTTGATCATTTTCTTTGTACTCCTTTAGGACAAGGAAACAGGTATCAGCATGATGGTAGCAGAAACCTTATCACCAAGGTGCAGGAGCTGACTTCTTCCAAAGAGTTGTGGTTCCGGGCCGCAGTCATTGCCGTGCCCATTGCTGGAGGGCTGATTTTAGTGTTGCTTATTATGTTGGCCCTGAGGATGCTTAGAAGTGAAAACAAGAGGCTGCAGGATCAGCGGCAACAGATGCTCTCCCGTTTGCACTACAGCTTTCACGGACACCATTCCAAAAAGGGGCAGGTCGCAAAGTTAGACTTGGAATGCATGGTGCCGGTCAGTGGGCACGAGAACTGCTGTCTGACCTGTGATAAAATGAGACAAGCAGACCTCAGCAATGATAAGATCCTCTCACTCGTTCACTGGGGCATGTACAGTGGGCACGGGAAGCTGGAATTCGTATGACCGAGTCTTATCTGAACTACACTTCTTGAACGCTTGAAGGCCTTTTGAGTTCTGCTGGACAGGAGCACTTTATCTGAAGACAAACTCATTTAATCATCTTTGAGAGACAAAATGACCTCTGCAAACAGAATCTTGGATATTTCTTCTGAAGGATTATTTGCACAGACTTAAATACAGTCAAATGTGTTACTTTAAAATTATAGAAAGCAAAGAGAAGACTTTGTACACACTGTCACCAGGGTTATTTGCATCCAAGGGAGATGGAATTGAGTACCTAAATAAACAAAAATGTGCCCTATGTAAGCTTCTACATCTTGATGTATTGTAAAGATTTAAAAGAAATATATATATTTTGTCTGAAATTTAATAGTGTCTTCCATAAATGTAACTGGGAAGCGTGAGACAGTACATGTTAATTACACTAATGGCCATTTGCTGTTGCTCACTTGTTGTCAACTCCAGGATGTGGCTTGATTTTTTTCTTTTTCTCTTTTCTTTTTTAAACAAGACCAAGATCTTGCTTATTCTTCCACGTGCCTGTGTAATCTTACAGTATGGAGTTTCTAAATGTATACTGACCATCTTTTAGTGTCTTACCCACATTTCTGGTTATAGGATAATTCTGGTTCTAGCTTTCATCTAAGAAGGAGATCTGAAATTTGTGTGTACCAGGTCAGATGTGATTGATCAATTTCTAGAGTTGACTTAGCAAAGGTCATTTTGATCCAGGTGTTCTGGAATACCTTTTCCAGTGTGTCTACCTCCACCCAAAAAAGAAAAAAAACTCAACTAAACAAAACTTTTTTTTGTTCAGGTTAGTCACTGTCTCCTTTTACTGTTGATTAATTGGCCAGTTTATTTTGTCCTAAGCCAAATTGAGTATTTTGGCTCCCCAGTTAGCCGAACCCTACCGTACAACACTCTTAATTTTAAACCTTGCACTTCAACAGTGTGATGCTTTTTTTAACTTCCTCCTTAGAAAGGTTTTCTGTAGTGAACATGATATACCAGTTGATTTAAATAACTGCTACTAGGTTTCCTCCTCCCAAATGATCCTTTACAGAACCAAATAGATACTGGCTTTTGCCAGTAACACAGCTAGGAAACAGTGTTTCCTCCTATAAGACTTTTGGTCCTGGTGACATTGCCCAGCCTGAATTTAAATGTATGACTTAGGCCGGGCGCGGTGGCTCAAGCCTGTAATCCCAGCACTTTGGGAGGCCGAGACGGGCGGATCACGAGGTCAGGAGATCGAGACCCTCCTGGCTAACACGGTGAAACCCCGTCTCTACTAAAAAATACAAAAAATTAGCTGGGCGAGGTGGCGGCGCCTGTAGTCCCAGCTACTCAGGAGGCTGAGGCAGGAGAATCGCGTGAACCCGGGAGGCGGAGCTTGCAGTGAGCTGAGATCTGGCCACTGCACTCCAGCCTGGGCGACAGAACGAGACTCCGTCTCAAAAAAAACAAAAAAACAAAACCAAAAAAAAGTATGACTTACTTGTGTACTTCCCTTGCCCCCAGTGGATCTTTCTTATTTTAAATGTCAGAATAATATGCCATGGAGAGTATCTTCTCAATTCCTTTGTATATTTGAAATTTTTGCTTAAAAGTTAACCTGTAGGCCAGGTGTGGTGGCTCACACCTGTAATCCTAGCACTTTGGGAGGCCAAGGCAGGTGGATCACAAGGTAAGGAGTTCGAGACCAGCCTGGCCAATATAGTGAAACCCCGTTTCTACTAAAAATACAAAAATTAGCTGGGCATGATAGCGTGCATCTGTAGTCCCAGCTACTCGGGAGGCTTAGGCAGGAGAATTGCTTGAACCTGGGAGGTGGAGGTTGTGGTGAGCTGAGATTGTGCTACTGCACTCCAGTCTGGGAAACAGAGCTAGACTCGGTCTCAAAAAAATAAAAAACCTACAGCCTGCATATTTGAGTATGGGGGTTTTCTTTTATTAATATTAATTGACCACCTGCCCTAGAAAACTAGGCTGTGGAATAAACATTTTAATAAAAGCATTCATATAAAGCATAATAAAAGCATTGTCCCTTTTAAGATGAACAGCTCTTGCATGCATGCCTTATATTTTACAAAAGATGTTATTAAGCTTTATGTACGTCAGTTTTTGAGGAAGCCAAAGAATTGTTCGTTGAACCCAACCCTTCAAACCTGTCAAGAGAATTGATCAAAGTTGTTCGTTGGTGAAATTCCCACCCTCACCTCCACCTCTGGCTCTTGTTTTTTTGTTTTTTGTTTTTTTTTGAGTCTTACTGTCACCCAGGCTGGAGTCTGGTGGCGCCATCCATATCACTACAACCTCCACCCCCTTCCCCACACCTACCGCGTCCCTCTTCCGTCCCCCTGCAACGTTCAAGCAATTCTCCTGCCTCAGCCTCTGAAGCAGCTGGGATTATAGGCACCCACCACCATGCCCGGCTAATTTTTGTATTTTTAGTAGAGACAAGGTTTTCACCATATTGGCCAAGCTGGTCTCAAACTCCTGACCTCAAGTGATCCTCCTGCCTCAGCCTCCTAAAGCGCTGGGATTAAGGTGCGAGCCACTCTGCCCAGCCCCACTCTGGCTCTTGATCACATTATAGTAGTTCGTAGTTTGGAGATTAAAGGACTTCTTGCTCCTTGTACTTTCTCATTTCACATACGCCATTATGCAAGCTCCGCAATTCTTCAAGTGGCCAGTTTTTGTATCTGTTATGTGTAGTCGAAGTTTCTTTTCTCTGCTTGCCATTATGAGGGCCTGTTCACCTCATATCTTCTAAGTACAGGTTAACTAGGAACTCCACAATTCTTTAGGAGATAAAACAATGAAGGATTTAAAGTCATGTGCTTTGAAACACTTTGAAATCAGTGAACCCCTTCCTCCCAGAGAGGCCTATGTCTGGGCTGGTGTTACCACAAACTTCATGGAGGATGCATGCACAGCCTCTCCACTTGATCTTGTGCCTTTGTTCTTCCTATTGTATATTCACGAGGCTGTTTACAGCTCCCTGTACTGTGGGGAGGTGGCACTGTGCCCACGGCCTCTCAGAGTTTTCTAGGGCTCAGCTTCTAGCCACATAATAGGCCAGCCCTGCCCCTTTTCGTAAAAAAAATCCTCTCCCTTTTGATACTCATTTAGTTTTTACACATGTCCTCACTGCCAGTCTTAAAGTCAGGCCCGCACATAAAGTCAGATCTGCCGCCTTATGAAAATATTGCCAGCAGCTCAACTTTGGATGTAACTAAAAACTACCTATAGATTTCACTTTTGCTTCCCTGTGAGAGTGTAGAAGTTGCCGGGAGCCAGAGATAAGGACTAAGATAAGGTCCAGGGTCTACCTGATTCAGTGATGTCAGAAATGGTGGTGGTGACTGGTTTGTCTGCGAGATGTTTACTGTTACTTTGAGGTGTCACAAGGCCAGGCTAACCAGGAACAACCCTTGCTTAATATTGTCATAGAATTCCCCCCAAAAGGAATCTTCCTTTCTGAGTGGAAATTCGCCGGAACTAGAGACATGGGACCAAATTTGCCAAGATGATTTTGTATCGACAACTCCTTACATTCTACCACTGTTGAAAAAATTGATCTGTGCATGGTTGTGTCTTTTATGTTATTTTTTTTTTTCCTTTTATTTTGAATGGCTTAGAGGCTTCCTAGAAATTGACTGGTGTGTCTCTCATTTCTGCTGAACTGATTTTATTAAAAACACTGCACCACAGGGGGTTTGACCTTATAAAATACCAAACATGTCTGCTTTAGAAAATCACAAAGCTTTCCTCTGAAGGGCTCGTAAATCTGGTTTCAATATGGGTTGATTATAGGCTAAAAGCTTGAAAGCAGTGGCATCTAGTATCATGACTCGGGAACTGGCTCTTTTGGGGCCAGGATAGCTTTTTTTTCCCCTTACAACCTCTAATTGGTCCTCTTCTCTGCCTCTCAGCCCAAATGTCTTTAAACCTCTACAGCTGTGGGAACTCGGGCAAATTAGGTCAGTTCTTTGAATATTCAGTTTTGTTGCCTGTGGATTGGGGGCCGTAGTAAAACCTTGTAGGATTATCGTGAAGAGACTTTGTAGCTATTTTCATTAATATACACAACAGTCTTGTATGAACTGCCCCCACATAATATTCCTTAAAATCTGAGAACTTGTGCCCATTATTTGTACTGTACATTAAAATTACTTTTTAATATTTAAGATCTTTGCATACTTGAGACTTGCAGACCTGCCAGTCACCTGCAGACAGGATTTAGCATTTTAAATATTCATTTTCAATGTATTATTTTTGGCCTCTCATGTCTATTAAATAGGTTCATTTGTAATTGTTTCCTTCTGGAATAATACAGATGGCTACTGATGAGAATGTTTTAATCATATAAACTTACTTCAACTTCTAGTAGTTGATAGAATGAAGTTCCCTTGGAGTTTCAGCTGCTCTGAATGGTCAATCCATTGAGAAAATCAATGGATTTGACAGGTAGCAGATAATGTGTCCATATTGTTTGCGTGGCTTATGTCGGAACTGGTACATTCTCAATAATTGATTCTCAATGCCACAATCAATTACAACCTGCCCCACAGGTGCTCCCAACAAAATACAAATACTTCCAGAACTAGTTTTTAGAACTTTGTGAATTTGGAAGTGGAGAAGCTAGTTAAAAATCATTTAATTACCCTGGATGAAATTAATTTAGTTACTCTGTGGGTCACAGTTATAATAAAAAAATTAAATGCTCCAGATACCAACATTTATAACAGAAAAATTGACTGCTCCAGATACCAACGGACTCCCCTTCCCTCTACCCAATTCATTCTGTCAATATGACTATCTGCTACCTTAAAAAAGCAGATTATTGATGTTTTTCGGGAGTTAGAGATCCCATAGAATGACAAAAACTCTCAAATTTTGGCAACTCTTTATTTGGAGTACGGTTTACACTCGGGACATGTCCTTGTTAATCTGCTAACATTGCATCGTTTTGCAGCGTGGTGGTGTAATTCATTTGTCTGCCATTCCAGGAATTTGAGGATAGAATCAAGAAGGTGGCAGAGCTGAGATTAACCAGTTGGGGTTTACTTCTTCCAGCAAGGCAGCAGTTTTCCAAGGGATGTGCTTTTTTAGAGTTTCAAAGTATTTATTGCTAGGGAAGGTCTACCAGCCAAACTTCTGCAAACTTTTCCCATTCTTTGAATATGAAAAGGGTAACAGGAAAGGCATTGATAAGCAATCTGGGGAGATACCTTGGGTAAGCAGTGAGATAGTATCTCAAGGCATTTGTCATTCCTCGAGACTTTTAGGACATTCCTTCTATCTAGGAGCTAATGGCCAGCTGACCTCTCCCGGGCAATTTCAAATGGTGTTTAGCTCCCGGTATCTTGCAGATTAGATTGATGTTGGACTAAGTCTGAATAGAACTCAGGAAAGATCAGCTGAAAACTATGCATGCCGCGCGCGCGTGTGTGCGCGTGTGTGTGTGTGTGTGTGTATGCGCACATGTGTGTTTGTATGCCATGTTAATTGAATAGACTTCGTAAT